CCCCGCCTCCCGGAGAAGCCCAGCGGCCGAGAAAGTCCCTTCATGTCGCGAATCCTGGCTCATTCTGGGCGATTATCCCGAAGGCAGCCGGCTGCCACCCCGGAGTATTTTAATAGGATTCGGAAACGGAGGCCGGCTGCACAGGAAACATTAGCAGAACCCAAGAAAACTTTGTCCCTGCAAACACCGGGCATCTGCTTCCAGGCCGCCAGGTCTGGGGCGCCTTCCGCCCAGGGCTGGAGACCTGCCTCTAACAAGTGCCCTCGGAGCCTAGGAAAGCTGGGGGTGGGGTGGGGGAGAGGAGCCAGCTGCTACAGGAATCCTCCCGGAGAAAAGGCGCCCTCCGGAGACGCCGGCATCCTATTATTATCCGAGACTCGGGAATGGCTAGTTTGCCAAAGCCCAAAGGGCCTGTCGGCAGCCTCTGGTCGCTGGATGCCAGCTGTGGCACAGCTCAATCTGCTCTCTGAGCCCTGCTAGTGACTCTTCTCAAGACCCTGATAATTCACTGGTATCTCCACTCTCTATAAGCTGCGTGTCTCTGAATAAGCTCTTGGGGTCTCTGTTCCCTGTGTTCTTCAGTGTTTTGGAAAGGGAGGGTCTTTCTAGGCACCAGGATCTGAAGGGGTGGCAGGCAGAAATGTACCAAGGTCCTGCCTGAATGGGGAATGATCACCTGCGTGATTCTACAGCCCGACTTTAGGCAAACCCCAGTCGGCACTCCTCCAATGGGGAATGCAAAAACACACACACATAAACAAATATAAAATCCTTTACAATATATGTTTATATATAACTGGGTATGTTTACGTATACGAGTATATATTTTATTGTTTTATAGACTACACTATAAATATACACTTTATGTATATGTATATGTGTCTGTGTGTGTGTATATGTATATTTGTTTTTAAGTCAAGTCAATCTCATAGGACATGCCTGAGAGATTAGCATGTGCTGGTGACTTCAACATACCAAATAGGCAAAGTTAAATATTTGCTCTAGATACTTTTTTTTTCCTTGCTTGCATAATTGTCCCACATTTCAAAGTAGTCTTAAAAAGCACTTAGGTTAAAAAAAAAAAAAAAGTTGCGTTTGGGGCCTGAATATTTCAGGACCCACATGGAGTAAATATTGTAACTCCTTGAGGACCCGCCAGATGCAAACTTCTTTCTCTCCTCTGCTTCCTGAAGCATGAGACTCGAAAAAAATATTTGTTCACTGAATAATGGAGCCATCCCCTCAAATAATCCTAATAATCCCTAAACCAGGAAGGAAGGAAGATGTGCGGGTGGGAGTTTGAAAGCTAACTCTGTGACTTGCAACTCTGGTCCTGGGAGGGCTGGTCAGCAGAACATCCTGGTGTCCTTCAGGTTTGCCAGGGGAGCCTGTGGGTTGGAAGGCCCGGAGTGTAGCTCCACCCCCACCAGTCCCCGCACCCCAGAGAAAGGTACCATCTCTATGACAGTAGTGTGCTGCTCTACAAACCAGCCGGAAGGTGCAGCCACAGGATAATGCCCTCCTCCGGCCAGATTTCCACTCCCCGGGCTCTTCCTAGATTGCCACTGTCAAGCTACAAACAGCCGCGTTCACCTGGAACCAGTTCTGCTGTCGCTTCTCCTGAGCAAGGCTCAAGTACCACTGGCATTCTATGTTCAAGAAGCACATCCCGGGGACCTAGGTCTCCGCCAGCCTGACCACCCAACTGGACAGCCTCGGGCCGCCCCCACTGGCCTTCTGCTCTGTCCCCTGCCCCTCGGGAGTGTGCCGTGAGAGCCCGCTGCCTGTCATTTTAAGGACAGGACCTGCCTACGTCCCAGTTCCTTTGTGTCTTTTAGAGCTCTCCAGTTCAGCCCCATGCTCGGTTGAGGCCACATACCTGGAGTCTTTAAAAACCTCTAATGAAAAGGGTCGGGGTCAGGGAACCCTGCAGAGGGCAGACCCCCACCCCATGCTCAGCTTGTCCCCAGGGCTGGTTGGGCCTTTGGATCTCACTGGGTCCCTGCTCAGAGGAGCCAGGCCTAGCCCAGTTTTTCTTGTGGTGGCCCCACAGCCGTAGGCAGCACTGAGCTTTGTGTTTTAGTTTCAGTTTAGGAAAAGGAGAAACTGCCGTGCTCCTTGGCCTCAGAACCCCATTCTTGTTTCCATGGGCTGCCTTCCGAGTCACCCACCGTGTGACGAGGTGGACAGGGAGGTGCAGAGCCTGCAGGAGTCCTGCTTTCATGGGATGATCTTCGTTGTCCTGGCAAAGCCTGGCCAGAGCAGCCGGCAGTCACCACACTTAAGGACAGCTCACCAGGGCTCCCTGAAAGAGAAACCATCACCCAGAGCTAGAAACTGGGACACCATGCCAGGAAGGGATGCAGAACACAGTCACCTTGTCTGTCCTGGGGAAGACATTATAAATGTTTTGTGTCTTAGAATGACCCAGCTGCTCAGTGTGTAGGCCTCTGCAGCCCTGCCTGTCTCCCACAGAGCCACTCCTGGGATCCAGACGTGGGGCCAGCTCCTCTTTAGAAAGGCCACCCCAGGGGGAATGACCTAGCCCTCCCTGCAGCTTACAGATGATCCAAAGAGACTTGTCCAAGGATATGAAGTCAGAGCAGGTGAAGCCAGGTGTGTGCAGGTGAAGGCAGGTATCACAGGTGAAGGCAGGTGTGCACAGGTGAAGACAGACAGGTGTGCACAGGAAAAAGTAGGTGCTCCAGCCAGCAGACAGGCAGGTCTCCCCATTGCCTCGTCCCTGCCAGACTCCCCCATGCTTCTGCCATTTCTTGTCCTTCTTTTCCCCTGTGGCAAGAGGTCTGATTCCTTCCTGTCCTCTACGGGGATTGCTGGAACGTGCACCATTTCTCTGTAATCCCATGATAAGTACTAGCTCAGTCACATAAGCCTGAAAACGTAAATACCCCCAGATTTTACCAATGCCCCCTCCTCTGCAGGTCCGCCTCCCATGCTGCACCTCGGTGGCTTCACCAGAAATTTGTTCCTCTCCAGTGATTCTGCTTGGATTGGTCCCACCAGGCCTGCTGCTGGCACTCTGTCTGAACATAAGCACCCAGGGACTGCTAACTAGGGGAGCAGGGGACAGTCTGCTTCTCCTGGAGTCTGAGCTGATGAGAGGGGCCTGTCTGAAGCTTTTCCTGGAGGATGTGTGCGGGGTGCACGGATCTGGGAGAGGCCAGCTGGGCAGAGGGGCTGCTGGGCTTTGCAGCCGGGCTCTGGGCTCTTCCCCCAGCTCAGCGCCATCTGGTCCTTCCACCTCCCCTCCAGGTCTTCCTCCCAGACCTCCCGCACTGATCGGAGAGCAGCCTGGAGAATGGAGAAGTTACTGCCCAGGGACATCTCTCGTCACATGGAGGCAGAGCTGGAGGCCTCTGCCCAGCAAGTGAACAGTCTGGCAGAGCGGCAGCCTCAGAGCCCACAGCAAAGACTGGCACAGATCGCCTGTACCCAGATATCCTCCTCTGTGCCTCCCATACTCCTCTCCCCTGGGGTCAGCTCTTGAATAAGCAGCTTGCACCCAAGACCCTGTCTCAGACAAAGCTTTCAGGGAAACTCAAAGTAATATAGAAAGCT